AACATGCTTTTACATCATAGTACATACGACAATTGGTATGACCTTGAAAATCCATGCAGGATATAGTTGAAAATTGAAGATGATATTTCGACTCAAAAGTAACTGTCAACCTAGAGTAATTATTTAGGGACCGTTCATTATTTACACCGGGGGTTGGTACCGAAGAGATGTGGGTTGGGTAATTAAGTTTTTGATTAGCTCATGGTTGAGAAAAAGAATTTATGGCTGTCTGTCAGCTATAAAATAAAACCAAAATTACCATGCATTGGAAAATATGAAGAAAAATGTGTACAATACATTCTGTATCAAAATAGACCATCGGTGATTCATTGAGGAAGGACTCTATCATTGATCAGCTTTGGCACACTCAGTGAGTTTGAGTGTGAGTGAGCTTTTAAAATTTAGGCAACTTGATTTCTGTCACCATAATCTTATGTAACACATGATCATGAGTTGGGTAAACATTATTTTGGCCAATGTTAAATAAAAAAATTACACTGTTTTTCGCTTCTCTTCGGTACCAACCCCAGGTATAAATAATGAACGGTCCCTTAACAAGGTATAAAAAAACAGATCATGGATTATTGCATTAGGATTTTAGGACGAAGAATTATTGTTCCAATTTATTTTTAGGGATATTTTAGTTTTAGATTAATATTCTCACAGATTAATATTCTCAAATTTTACCATGTAGTTATGATTTTTTTAATCCCCCCTCACCCATAACAGAGTCTCGTGTAGCATGCGAGACGCCACAAAACTAGATTACTAAAACAGTTTGTGGTCACCATATGGGGTCGCTGATGTCCTTGCTGCCAAACATAACATAACACTGAACATATAACTTTCAGCCAATGACTAACACTCTAAATTACGTACGTCTATGTATATAGCATACTGATACTTGTGCATTTTTACACCGTCTAATTTATCTTTCAAGCCAGCTTGGAGCATAGGTCTAATGACCAAAAGCCAACAGCTCGGTAGTTGAGTTCAAGTTTGATTTCATTAATGTGTATAGGGTAAGGTTTGGTTTGCATGACCTTGCAGATTATTATTATTATTTATTAATTTTATTATTAGTAAATAAATTTTATTTACATACAAATTATATATTGAATTTATTAGTCTCATGAGGAATTTGCAATAAATTTGAAATATTGTTGTTGAATATTGTGTCTGTCCTATTGTTCCACTTAAATATTAGGTTTCAAGATGGAACTTCTATATTATAGTAGAGAATGAAGAAAATTCAATGAGGATGTCATTCCTGCACATACACAAAATTTTCCTGATTTGCATGATTTTCTCTTCGATTCTCTTAGTTAAAGTCACTTCTTTTTGAAATATTGCTTCAAAACACGACTGTTCAATTAAATCCTTGCGTTTTGCAAGCTATATATATACAGCATTCGCGTTCTTGCAATATATTATATGCAACCTTTCGCCATTGGCATTGACCGAAATTTGTATCTTATACAACATGCTCTCTCGTGCTGTATATATTTGCTTGTACAAATTCATGTACAGCGGCATCATAACTAGGGTATGGGCATTCATATTACATACGAGTCACAAAAGGTTTACATGAAGTAGTGCGTCACATTATAGTTGCACTACTTCATGTAAACCTTTCATATAGTGACTCGCATGAAATTTTTTAATTAGCCCCTGGGGACGAGGCAGTTAATTAAAGTAATGAACAAGTAAGAAACCCTAGCATTCAGTTAACTTTCATAATTGGCTTCGCTTGAAATGTCGGAGACAATTTCGTGGAGGAAAATGTAACCTTTTAAGTTTTCTGGAAATAGTGTTCAAACATTGTTTGATTATACTGCGCAAAGACAAGTGCTTGATTTATCAATTCTGAAAACTCAAAGTAGAGCTCCAGAATCATGATTGTGTCATTATAAACTGGATAGGTTTAAAAAAAACAAAGAGTAACACTTCCCAACAATCCAATGGCCAAAACTAACTCATTCAAATAAATTATCGCGATCGTACTAAAAGTAAAGAAAACCGGTTGTCTATTATTATAATTGGGTGAATCCAATAAAGTAATGTTAAAAATACCTTTTAACCTCGATTTCAACATTGTGCTTGCTATATTACTATAAAATACCTACCTTTAAACACAAATAATGTTAAACCATACAAGAGTAACCAGCGATAAAGTAGCCACGGCATTCTGCTGCTGATTGTGGAAACTGATGCAGTGAAAGCGATAGCCAGTTAAATGTTTAAACCACGAGTTCCTTGTCTTTGTAGTTCCGCACTGAACTTCCTGAGAAAACACGATAATATGTTAATAAAACTGACTTTATACAAAGAACAATGTTAATCACCAAAACAGGACTTGGAAATATAATTGGATTCAATTCTATATACACAGTTCATTCTTTGTCGGTTTAGATGGCGACCAATATAATTGATTTGTTCGGTGACAACACCACGTTTATTGCTTTCGAAAAAGCTTTCGATTTATAAGCAAGAAAGTTCATCATGCATGCAGCAACAAAGTTTTCAGCGCAAGCTTCCATTTTCGTAAAATGTTTACCCACGAAATTTTGTTGATAAGTCGAGAGTTAAACCATCTTCAAATTAATATACCAAGACTTATAAATAAATGACCCGTATGTTAGGAGATATTTATTCAACTGTTAAAATTTGAATCCAAAATGAGAATAATTTCAATACTGAAACAATAGTTTTGCACTCAATTCCTAATGGTGGTAAAATGCAATTTCGATAGCGTGTATTTGCTAATCGGGTGTATATGTCAAATTTTGGTTGCAATGGTGCATGCAAACTTAAAAAGCGGAAGTTATTTCGCTGACCTCAGAATGACATTTCGTCAAAACAGTTTTCTTCAAGACTGGTTTAGAAACAAACTTGGAGTAGTGTCAATTAGGTTAGGGTTAGGATTACAGTTGGTGTTTGGAATAGAGTTAGTGTTAGTAAAGCAAAACCGTTGCTTTGTTACGTTTTATCACTCTGAGGCCAGCGAAATAACCTCCCAATTTAAAGGCCTGATTCCACGGGCGCTTTTTCTCGGCGAAATGTGAAATATTCGCCTGTTTCTTTTGAATTGTGAGCAATCAAGTAAAAATAATTTATTCGAGTGGTCGCAATTCATAAGAAACAGGCGAAATAATTCGCATTTCGCCGAGAAAAGCGCTCGTGGAATCAGGCCTTGAGCCGATTTTACACTAGCGAATTTCTTCGCGCGAAGCGAATTTTCTATTGTGTAAATTGAAAAGAATGGATTAAAAATCCGAATTAGTTCCAGCCGAGAGCTCATAATACAAAAGATTTGCGCGAACAAATTCGCTAGTGGAAAACCGGCTTTAAGGTCCATACAGAGCGGACGCGATTTGGGAACACGACGCGAATTTTCAACTTTCAATGGCATTTAACTTCAGTATTTTTCGATGTTTTTCAAATATTCGGAACCAATTTAGCTATTTAATCTGAATATCTTATCCCTTGACGTTTTTAATTGTTTTAAAAAACTGAAAATTCACGTCGCGTTGTCGAATCGCATTCGGTCGGTATGGACCCATTCTCCTTCGCAGAGCCTTACGAATTTTTTGTAAAATTACGTAATATTACTTCGGAAACAAATTACGTAATTGTTAGTCAAAACGCGCAAGGTATGATGGGAAGATGTCAACCATCGGTCTCACCCCCCCCCCCCCCCCCCCCCC